ACACCAATATGCCGACAAGAGATCCAGCCATTTTCTGAAAATTTACAGCTAATTATGCATGTATATTATTTCTAAGATAGCATTGCATGCTTATTGGCGCTATAATTGCACAGCACTTTCATTTTTTACACTTGACATGCTTCTCTCATGGTTACGAATACTAGACACAAAGAAGGACCATTAACAGTTTAAATCAACTCAAAAGATACCGTTTAAGGCCAATATAAAGACATTAAACAAAGAAACTGAAAACGGCTGCTTTGAATATAACAGGGGAATATGTTCTATATGATAAATACATCAGCAAAGTCACAGAATGTAAATGAGAGAGGTATATCCTCTGATTTTAAACATAACGGATGACTAAATCGACCAACTAAGAATGATTCCATGAGAAGGAATGCACATATCCGCTATCAAAACTTTTAAAATAAATAAAAAATTTGAATAAAAACGAGTTCCATTAACCGAAACAAATTAACATTCGATTTTTGATACAACTTTTGTATGTAACAACTGCTAACATGTATTTTAGTTTAAGCTTGACAAAATAGTAGAGGCTCTGGAGGACATGAATCCACAGCATTCCGCATGGTCATCGCCTGCTTCCGCAAAATCATCGAAAAGGGTGTTACGGGCAGCAAATGTGCACCAGACAATGTGTGGCAAATTTTTACCCAGGCTTAAGTAATAATGCAAGAAGAATGATACTTACACGTTCTCTGCTCAGTCAAGTGCACGGCAATGCTCTCGTCTTTGCTTAAGGTGTTCCGAGGAACAGAATGATGGAAGCGAGTAACAAGCATTCACTTATGTTCCTTATTAAATCCTTGCCAAAGAAACAATTCAAAGACATTGGGAAATGCTGGTAGTAGCAAAATGAAGCTGTTTTTATTTCCACGTGAACGTGAATTAGTTGGAAAACTAAGCAAACACTATCATCATGAATGACAATATTTGGGCTCTTTATTGATTGTTTGCTGTGTTCAAAAAGTGCAAAAAGCGCGTCGTTTAGTTTGTTAGTATTCAAATATATATATATATATATACATGGAATTTTGTTAGGAAACTACTGAAATTCACAAATCGTCTCTGATATTCGGTTTATGAGACAGTTAGATGAAGTTTCTGTTTAGGGTGACAATGGTAGGTCCCCTTTTCCACCCTGTATTTGCTATCTGAAGTGAACTCAGTATTTGGTATATACTTGTATAGCATAACTACTGACAACTGGCAATCTACAACGATGATCTAGAATATTCATATTATGCTTGCTTTGGATTCTCAGCTGGTTCATCAACAATAACTTCATTACTTATGTTCAGGGTACTCTGACTGTTATGATGCTGTAATAACTTCAGACCTTTCTAAAAAATAATGTACGCAGTGAACCGAATTTTACCTAACTTGATAAATACACAGATATATTTTGAAAAGCACTGAATATGTATAGAAACACGAAAACGAGGCTATGCGGGAACATGGCATCTGTCATTTACAGAACTTTTATAGATTAATCTCCACAACGCTTGATAAATGTGTGTACCGGAAAGCCATTGAGAGGGTAGATCAAAGATCGTAGCGCAGAAAGCAAAAAGACAAAAAACAGAACTTCCAAACTGTCAAAACTTACAAATAATGGATAGGTTTTTGGAACCACTATAATCATTACGCGTCAACTCTATCCTGAACAAAAGGCGCCAAAGCTTCCTAAAAACCAACTGCCATGTTTTGAAAGGTTTTCTTTCTTTTAACACCAAAAAATTGTTGCATTTTCAAAACAAATACGACATATACACGTCAAATCTGTCACAAACAAAATACATCAAACCCACCTCCTAAAAACCGACTGTCATTATAAGAAAGCGCTGTTTTTCCACCTCAACGCTCGCTTATTGCTGATTGAAACACGCGCGGTTAAATGAACATAAACTATATTCATTCGATGATTATGAATTGTATATAAAATGTTCTTTATCTTCTCACAGTATTCAATTCATTGAAATGATCAAGCCAACAGACTATCAATCAATTATCAGACTAGCAATTATCAATTCCTATAATATCTTTCAAGTGTAAATATAATTTATTGGTCGCAATAAAAGGATTTATGTGAGATGAGATTATCAATGTTATGTAAGCTTCCCAGGGAACTTGGCTCTTATAAAACAAGCTCCAGATCTTTCTTCCCTAATTTCAGTCAGGAAGTCTCCGTTTTGTTTTTCACACTTAAACTTTAATTTTGTTTCCAAGTAGCACTTGTGAAACACAAATGATATAAGTGCAGCCTGATTGGACAATGTCACTTGGCCTCTGTATGATCAGCCAATCAGAGGCATATACGGTACAGTCTCTCGGAGGATAGGGAGAGCCTTCTCCCACATCATTTTATATTTTATTTATCCTCAACTGGTATTGCTACCAGTAATATCCTAATATTTTAGACAATTTAATGTCAACATTGTTATTTTTCCACATACTTTAGATGAAATACTTGGTACATCCAACATACGATAAGTGAAAAAGTAAGAATATATGGAATATATTAACCTTTATATAGTATATGCACATGAATGCACTATTAGAATGTGTGTATTTAATGTAAAAAAATCATGTACAATACGAGTTTCTTGAATTAACGTCAACAGCATTGACTGTTCAACGAACATATAATCACACAGACCAATATATGAACTTGCAGTCCAGCACTTGTGCATTTCCAATGTAAACAGTTAATTACCAGAGCTTTAAACAAAGAGAAGGGTTATATTACCAATCAAGATGACGGGAACAAGATGTAAGCTACAGTATATTCCCCTACCGCTAGGGGTAAATACATCTTGCCTTCAACTGTAAAACTCCAACCCCGAAACTCACCCTGCCTCCTAGGGGTAACAAGGGTGAAGCCGGCGAATGTCAAATTATCAAGCTAAAAAGCAAAGATCCGATTGAGAAGCTATCGTTTACATACAATAGATACAAGATGAAACCCTAATACCCTTTACACACCCCGAAGAAACCTACTGCACTTTAAAGATTATTATCCAATGGAGAGACAACCATAACAAAGCACACGAAACCAAGATAATGCCCTCAGCTTCAGTGATGATTCAAACACACACACAGTCGCACACACAAGACAGCTATAATGAATAAATGAATACATAAATAAAATAGATGTATTCATTAATTCATATATCTCTCTGTGTGAATACATACATAAAATATTTTTAAAAATTACACTTTTAGTCTACATATTATGTAAAACCTCCTACCTGTTTAAAACTTCCAAATGATTGAATTTACGTGTGTTTGTCTAGCACAGAATTGGCGCACTGACAAAGCAATAATGCTTATTAACCAATCAGATGCTAACAACGCTTAAAAAGTACCATCATCCTTGGATGATTGTAAAAACACCCAGTTTGTTGAGTAATAGTGAATTTCATGTTGAATACTAGTCACCGCTTGCTTCATTCATTACAAGACTGAAGACCGCAAACTGCTGCTTATCGATTTCTAATATATCTACCAACAGTAAGTATCATTCATTATGTACTACTATACAACACCTATCAGATTTAATCTAACTTCGGTTTGAATTGTTACTGGTGATATCCTGCTCATTTAAACAATTTGGTATTCAAATATAGGCTAACATAACATAGTCGATAGTCTTTTGAAGCGCCATAGTAAAAGGATATTGCTTTATACATCAATTACTATTGCACAAACCATAGGGAGGTTATCTACCCGGTATTTTATTTAAGACGTTGAAATCAGAGTAGTTTGGATGGAAGAAACTTTGTGGATGCTTACAGACTGGCGCAGGACAGAGTTTAGTGGAGGGCCACAGCGGGCCGAATCGAACATTCTGTCTGATGATGATAAATCAGAGTAGTAAGGTCATAAGCTGCACAAGTGTTAAAGGGCACTATCTCAAAGTTGGAGAAGTTTTTTCGGGTAATTTTGTATCATATATGCCAGCGATCTTGGCTTGATCCAAATAAAATCTCAAACATAAGTTTGCTATCGAGACCAAAATTCTTCCAGGAATTGTTTCACAAGGAATCTGTATTCAACTGTTCGCCCACAAAAAAAGTCAGAGGTTGATAATGTGGGCGCCAAGAGATTTTAGTCAGACTTGATTTCATACCAAGCTTGGCATTGAAGACACATCCAGTTAATTTTAGCATTGACGGTTGTAAGAAATATAATATTTAACCTTTCAGTGCTTGTGGTTTGATTTTCAGTGTAGTTCAATGAGGCATCTTCATGTTCATATACACTAAAATCTGATGACCTCTGCAAAGACAAGTAATTAATAATTTACGATAAGTCATCACCAAAATCTAATTACGCTTAGATTATCCCATTTTGGACCTATTCAGATAACTAAAATACATCAATAACTTTTTGAGTTAGGCTTCTCAAAACAACAACAGGAATTATACAGAAGTTTCGGCATATTTTCAAGAACTTTTTGTAAATTTCCAGCAGATTTGCAATAATAGTTCTTGTGATATAGAATTCATAAGATCGTTAATTTCTGAACCAAAAATATTGACATTATTCAGAACTATATCCCTATTCTTAGTCTTAGGTCTTCCTGTCCAAGGTAGAACGTTGGGCGGCAAACTTTTTCCAAATTGTTCGGTCGGCAGCGGCCCTCTCCATCTCCTCCCACCTGATGTTGCCTCTTTGCAGATCATTCTGGAAGGTTCTCCTCCAGGATATATCCTCGGTCTACCTCGATTGTGCTTGCCTCTCGGTGGTACCCAAGTCATAACAGTTTTTGCATGCCCCTCAGCTGGTAGTCAAATGAAGTGTCCTGCCAATTTTATCTGATGAATGGTGACTGTTTCATGCAATGGTCTTGACATTGCCTTCCTAAGCACTTCTTCGTTGGTGATATGGTCTCTGTATGAGATCTTCATCATTCGACGTAGACACCTCTGATGAAAAACATCCAGTCTTCTGTCCACTTTCACAGTGCTTTTTCATGCGTTATAAAGGCATATCTTCAGCTGTGTGCTCATTGATGTCGATTTCCAGATATTGTTCATTCTTCTAAACACTCTAGCTCCTTTACCGACTCTGCTTTTGACATCCATTTCAGCATCACCATTCATGGTTATCAGGCTTCCTAAGCATGTGAATCGCGTTATTTCAGTCCCAACATTTATTGGCGTAATGTTTCTAGCTCCCACGTACATCACTTTGGTCTTTTCACTGCTAATTCTCAATCCAAACTTGCGAGCTGCTATTTCCAAATTAGACGTTAGTTGTTTTAGGTCATTTTCATCCTTCGCCAGCAAGACGATGTCGTCTGCAAAGTCAAGATCAGTCAGTTCACTACCGTTTACCCAGTTCACACCAGTTTCATCTTCTTCTGTAGCCGCTCTCATCACAAAATCTACCAACATCAGGAATAAAAAAGGCGATAAAATGGACACCCTGTCTGACACCCGTCATGATGTTGAAGAACTCTGTTGTTCCCGTGTTTTTTCTAAGACCCCATTTCCACAGATTTTAGATCAATCTATCCTTGTGGGGAGTTTCACTAGATTACTGTCAGCTTAACCGGCTTAAATATCTGTACCGCCTACTAAAAGCTGTAAGGAGGTAATTAACTACGTGCGCGTTCGGCTGACAGCTATTTAGCGTGAACCCCCAGGGAGTAAGGTCGATGTAAATGTAAATGGATCGATTTAATCTATGGGAATGCAGTCTCACATTCCTATTGCGGATTTTTAAATCATTTAAATTACCATTGCATTGAAATCATTATCGAATTTTAGAATTGAATATCACACTTAATCAATTGACTTTTTTATAACTTGTATACAGTTAAATAGAGTAACCAATAACAAAATAAGTGTTAACAAAAGCATATTGAAATAAATCAATGAATGGAAACCCATGGGCTTGTACTTGTCATTGGAATTTGCTGCTTGACAGGCCAAAGCACGTTGTCGCCTTGCATCGTTTCTCGAGTTCCTTTTTTTACTCAAAGTTTATGTACAATATTTTTTTTAAGATTACCGTAGTGACCATACCATAATCTGTGCTCTAAAGCTTTGATTATGACATTATTTTTCGTTTTAAATTTCAGAAGATGGTAGGCACTTTGGCGGGCTTTCTGGTGGCAATGTTTTTAACATCCACTCTGATTGAAGAAACTGAATCTGCTTGTTGTAGAAAAGTGAGCCATAAGTTCTGCGCAGACTGCACCGAAGTAGGTATTTGAATCTGCCTTTATGTATTATTTGTTTTTTATATACTTTGAATAAAAAGTTCTTGATTCATAATACAAGGTACACTATCTGTTATGAATGAATATGGCTTTTACATGTATAGAAGCGACCTGGTGGAAATTTTCACACTAAAAAAGCAAAAGTGTGCGTTTCAAAACCAGCCGTAACGATACTTCTTATCGAGCATAACGTGTCATTTTAATTGGCAATTAAACCATAAACTTTTTCAGAAACCGTACATTTCTTAGTTAACCCTTGTAGTTTTTTTTTCTGACAGAATGTGAAACTCAACTTTGTAACAATCAGTATTATTTTCAATTTATTTTATTTTCAACACACAAGGATTAAGTACAACCTACAATACTTACTTAACCAAAAATAAAAAAATAAAAAGGCCCTTACTTGCCAAAGCATTGATTTTTGGTTGCTCTCTTCATAAGAATTAAAACGAATGGACTGCATTTTGCGCTGTTTAGTTTAACATGTTTATGTAAATAGATGTGTTACTTTTGCCTCTAGGGAACTCCATATTGCGGATACGGCGGATGTAACATTTTCGGCTGTGCCTGTGCTGGAGGGTGTCGACGTGACTGCGGCAGAGTATATAGTGAATTTATGTACGTATTCATGGGCTTATACTGTTTTATGCTGTTTTCCACATTTCATGCTGCTCTCTTCCATCACTATTCTTTTCAATCGACAATCCAACTTTAATGTAAACATTGATTTTGCTTTTACATTTCAATGTTTTAACATTTTGAGCACATCACAATGGATATAATCGCTGGTTGACAATAGGGAAGCCCAGGGGGCCCACGCCCCTACAATAGACCCTTACTTCCTTTTCTTTCTCCAAAACAACAGATATTATAACACAAAACATTGTGCCCCACATATAATAGTAAATTGTCCTCGACTATGGTTTTGTTTTCCTGACTTCACTCGACATTTTGTCGCCCACTTAAATACAACCCTGAAAGAATAACTTACACATACAAATTTGAATATTTCAGAGATTGGCACTTGGGGCGGGCAAGAATGCCAACCAAGTGCACGTGTACAAACAAACGGTCAGTGTGGGACGCTGAAGACGCCGGAACTGATCCAGAGATAAAATCCAGAGATCTGGATACAGGTAAAGAGGGACTGCAAGTATAAAACGTGTCTCACTTTTGACATACTGGATTTTGCATTTCCACATCTAGAATTTGTATTTCACATTACATCATATTTGTTAAATTCTGTGAATGAAACTTGCAGCTGTTATCAGCTTCAAGGAAAATTGAATAAAAGGCAGGCGCATCCTAATTGGACATTGACAATTTTCGCTTTTGCTGAAGACAAAAAGCAATGTTCTGTCTTAATTGTTAACTCTTAATATTATTTATGTACTTCTTTTAGCTTCCGTCCAATTGAACTACAATCAGATTATGTTAAACTGCACTTTGAGGTTAATTCAAAATATCTTCCCCATGGCCATGATTGTCAACCATTAAAATTATATTTATAAAATATCTAGGTATTTGTTCTTATATGACACCCATTCTTTCCCGTGTATTTCATAATCCAATTCTGTTTCAGACACTATAGTAATGCCCAAAGAAAGACGTGATACGGACATGGACGCAGATGCTTAAATTGGTCTGGAATTGCTGAGAACCAGATGTATTTAAGTACAATCGTCATCGTGCTTTTAAGGCATTATATTCAAAATTTCCGTAAAACCTTTATCTATTTTTTTGTCACGAGTCCGTATTTCCCAAAGCTTCTCTCTACGTGCTCTCCTGCCTCATGCTGTGAAACCATTTCTGTATGCAATAAAGATCTTGTCCGGAATTAAATATTGTATAAGCATTCTCACTTTAAGATTCAGGGCTAGTACCATAGTCAGTCGGACTACTGAAAAAATAGAACTTTGATGTGAAAGTCCTTAACCTATTTTGCCTAATGCAGAATCGTTATCATCGATCTTACATGAATTATGGAAAAACGGTTCGTTGGATTTCTCGACACAAACTATTATTTGACAGAATATTTATTTACCAAAAGCCAAAATAAAAGAAAGCGTGATGCAAAACGGCATAGTTTTTTTAAAACGTATGAATGACTGAATGGGTTTTTGCAACCACTATAATAATTAAGCGCCAAAGTTATCCTAAACAAAAGTCACAGAAGCTTTCTAAAAACTGACAGCCAGTAATTATTTGAAAAAAAACCTCTTTTTTTATTCTCCACATTATAAGGGCATATGCATTACCAACACGTGTACCTGGTTAACAGTTAACTTTAAAACATTACTTCACAAAACACTCGGTTTATTGGACGATAACGATCTGTCACTTCTTGAGGAACTATATCTATAAACTAAAGAAAGTAATATGAAAAGAGATCACGACTCTGTTTTGAAAGCTTCAGTTTCACGGGTCGAACACGATTTAAAGGAAATAAATAGCTTTCATTGACGATTATGATTGCGTTGGCAAATTGCTTCGACAGAAATGTCAAACAAAAATATAGTTCAACAGTCGCAATAATATCAGTTGAGAAGTATACAGTGGTCCTACTGTGGCAGATAGAAGCATAATGCATCAGTGGTGTGTTGTCACTGCCATCTTGATTGTGTTCGTCTTGTCTTCGCCCGAAAATCTTTTCATTCGAAAGCATTACTGAATGCGTTAGTGGTGTGTAGATCTTGATTGTGTTCGCCCTGCAACTGTGTTTCGCTCTGATACCGAAATCCCTTTTCTCTCGTGCTCTCACCTATCCCTGAGATGAGTTGTACGCGTGTCACGCTTGTGAAAGGACGGGTTTCTCAATGATGTCTTAAAATAATGCATTGAATTTTCCAGGTAGGCTTAGTTTCTTGTAGATGACAAATTCTATTCCTTTATAGGTTTGTTTACTCAACTGTTTCAATTATTATTTTCTTTAAACTTTTGGTATTTATTTCATTGTTTGCTCCCTTGTAATTGGCCCCGAGATATGCCGTGTTTGTGACAGGGTGTCTGACGTATATTGTATATCTATTTTTCAGGTAGGCAAAGTTTCTTCTAGATTTTCATTTCAATTTCTTTGCAAGTTTTCTGTTTCTCTCTTAATATTTTTTCTTTGCCTTTCCCCATGTATTTCACCGTTGTGTTTTATTTCCGTTATATTTAGTTCTCATCAATTGAGGAAAGTCATTATTGGTTATTAACCGGTAGTAGTACAATGGAAGTAGTTAGACTTTTTCTATGAAGTTCTCTAGATTTTTTTTTTACGAAAAGTCGAATAGAAGTGCAGGATGCAAACGAAAAAAGCCATGCCCTTTTGACCGGGTATCGCGGTGTATGGCTGCTCATTTCTTTTCTCCACAACCCAGTGGTATTAACCTCACTTACCCGATTGATCTTCATATTCTTTTTTAACTTGCACTATACCTAAAGACCATCCCAAAATTTTGAATTTGAACTAGCGCTTTATTGCATAAAGAAAACGTTTTACAGAAATAAGCAAAAGTAAACGAAAAGCAGCCATTCAACAATCGAAATTCAGTGACAAGATTAATCAATTACGTATTTTTTTATTTAAAGCTGAAAATAAGATGTGTCGTACGAGAAAGCAATGCCCAGATTTCATCTAAAGGCTGTGACTACTGTCATTCAATTACTTTTTTCAGACCCATGTCAACTCCTCCAAAATTAATTACGAATGTAATCATCTCTGAAAAAGAAGATACATGTATATACATATTCATCTTAGTAAATACGTAAATCACAGGATAAGAACATGTTCATATTCATGAAATCCATCCATGACGACAGAAACTAAATCTTTTACAAAACCTTAAGTCGATGTGAATAAAGTACGTTTTATCGACCAAGCACATGTATATTGATGTGTTCTTCTGATGTGGTTATAGACTACAACAACAACAACAGCGACAACAACAATAATAATTATAAATAAATAAGTAAATAAATAAATAACAAAGTGTCCATCGTGTTTTATACACACACTGGACAATAGAAGTGTGACCCCTACTGAACCAATACTTTTGGGGAGATAAATGACTGTGGAATGATATGCTCCTGGTATCATTTTATTAACATCAAATTTCACAAAAAGACCAACAATACAATCCCATGGTACAGCGGCTTTATACTCATTAGTTACATTATAAGTAGACCAGGCATTATAACTTTGATTACTCTGATTCAGGGGGTGACACTTCCATTGTCCAGTGTGTGTAAATACACGTATTTGCAGTTACTACTCCGTACCTGTCTGTGTCATGGTCACTGGCCACGTCCATAAGAACAGCCCCGTCTGACAATGAGCGTTTATTCGAACACCCGCACGCAAGCGGATAACCGAACATCATACTGAAAAGAATTTAAATGTATGTGTAAATGATTTGCTCTATGGCATGCTCCGTATCTTTTAAGATTACACATACCTTAAAATTATTAAAATAATTTTACCTCTAGACATCCATATGTTGCTGTTACCATAGCTGTTTTTATTTAGTCAAAATCCATTAAGAGGTGACTATTTTCTGACAATAAATCAATCGAGGAAGGAAAACAATATGACATGGGTTTTAATATCTTGAATACATACTCATAGTTGAATTTGGGATCGCAGCTCTTGCGACAACCGTTTTCGCAAGCGCAGCCAAAGATATTGCAGCCCCCATATCCGCAATACGGAGTCCCCTGGAAGAAAAGTTACAATATGCAGTCCGCCAACTACAGACTGTATTTGATATAGTGTTTAATTTAACATAAGCCTACTTTAAGGATGTAAACCAATGAGGTGATGGCTGCAAAGTAGAATAGTTCTAATTGCGAACAACTTGGAACATGTATTACAAAGGATAGGCTGCAGTGGCGGATTTAGGGGGGGACAGGGGAATCATGGCACCGTTCGCCCTCTAAAATCCCAATTTTTTGGGGCACTTCACTGGGCCCCGAACTCCACGCCAAGGGGGGGGGGGTCTGCTTTGCATCCGTGGACCCCCTTTAAATAATACGGGATCCGCCCCTGGGCTGTAAATTGATACCAGTATAAGCTGAATCACGTTAGATAACAGTGAAGTCCAAACAGAGCACTGCAATCAAGTGGGTTAATTTTACGAAGGTGGAAGAAGTACCACGACAGTTCTTACCGTATTATGAAATATTAAAAAATCTCAACCTTTGGCGAATTTATGTCTCTTTTAACTTTAATTTTCTTTTGATTACTTTCAAACCTACAGTATCTTTGTAGTTTGCATTTTTGTATGAGGTGTGTGAGGTGTTTAAGAATTGAATAATTATCATTTTATTATTTGTTATATAAACAAAGAGATAAAAATTTACAATAGCTTTGGATATATACTCCCCTACCAATGACGTATCACCTCGTATTAAAGTGTAAAATGACAAGACAAACAAAGTCTTTGACAAAAGATTTCATTCTACTTCTAAAATGATTTTTCACAAAAAAATTTGAACATCCAATGGATAAACTGACCACACGAAAAAAAAATCAAAGTTAAGTATTTGCACAGCAGCCTCTGGATTGAAGAAAGCAGTTAACGTGATATGGCATCAGATTAGAAAGTTCTGTGTGGTTTAAGTAGAGATGGCAAGAAATGTCAAATGGCTTGGAAAGAGAAGGGGCTCTTAAATCCTGCTTAGTTGTTTGATTGAAAGAGTACCTTTTTTTTTTGTAGAATTCACATATTGGCCCGTATTCCAAGATGTTCCTTAAAATAGGCCTAAGGTCAACTTTTATAAAGGCTTCCTTAGATGAGATGTTCCTTGGTAAAGGAAGGCCTAACGAAATGGTATTCTAAGACCACACTTTAGCCTCTCCTTTGATAGGGAATTACTTTGACAAAAGTCAGCCTTTAGGTAAGGGACACTGACATAAAGGAGCTCCTCGTTGGTTAGAGTAGGCCTTTGTGACACCCTCCTCGTTAAAAACGCCTCAGTAATGTTGTATAATTGGGGTCAACTGATCAACTTCAGTCATGCAACAGCGCATATGGACATTATCATTGCATGTGGATGTTTTGATCTAAGCCAAATTTAGTGAGTAAAGCAAGTATGCCAAGAAGAGAAAAGAATGGTTTGGAGGATGAGAAAACCAAAGTCGTAGACCCTTTCCTGATATAGAAAAGCTGCTACTGATGCAACTAGTCAACATAGAAAAGCCTATCCTCGATCAAATGTATTACTTCTGCCAAAGAGGTTGTTTTCACCCCTGTTTGTTTGTCTATCTGTCTGTTTGTTTGTTTGTCATCAACATAACTCAAAAAGTTACGAGCCTATTTTGATGAAATTTTCAGGGTATGTCAGAAATGGGTTAACTTAGAAGTGGTTAGTTTTTGGCGGTCATCAAGATCAATAATCAATCAATAATCAAAAATCAAAAATAACTCAAAAAGTTATGGGCCGATTGTAATGAAATTTTCAGGAACTGTCACAAGTGGGCCAAGGAACAGAAGATTAGTTTTTGGTAGTGATCCGGATCAATGATCAATCAATAATCAAAAATCAAAAAACTAAATCATTATAGAATGAAAATTGGGTGGAGACTTTGCTGTCTTCGCAGAGGTCCCCGCTCTCGGAGTGCTTTTCTAGTTGAATTTAATGATTTTGAAATTAGGTAGGCATGTTGGTTTACATAGTCCTCCATGGAGCTGATTTTTACAAGAGAAATGTACACGATGGCTGCTTAAGGAAGACTAAAAGTTACTCCAGACCAACCTTGCATTTTAAGGAATCCTCAGCCGAAAATATAGGAAATCTTTTAGCAAAGGCAGATTCCAGAAATGACCGATTCCTTTGCTAAGGATGATTGTGATTCCTTTCAAGTGAGATAAAGAAAGATCTTGGAATACAAATTTCATATAAGGTCGACTTTAAGTCTCCCTTAACGCTAAAGGGAGATTCTGGAATACGGGCCCTAGTCTTTCCACAGCTAGCAGCACTATCTGAAGCAGCTGGCTACTAGTTCAACGGCGTTTGCAATTAACAGTGATCAAAAGTTGTTATGCCTACCTTTGTGCAGTCTTTGCAAAACGGACCCTTGTATCTACCACAGCAAACTGCTTGGGCTTCCTGTATGACAGTGGCTATTACACAGGCTGCCACCAAAATGCCGACTAGAGATCCAGCCATTTTCTGAAATTTTAGAGGTAAATACACATGTATATTATTTATTAGATAGCATTGGTGCTATCGATGCAGGAATGTTATTTATTCCTGAAATGCCTCTCAAATGGCTTTATATAATTTATATATTGTCATATAACGGATTTATATCAACTGAATAGATACCGTTTAAGGCCAATATAAGGACATTAAACAAAGAAACAAAACGACTGTTTTAATCATTGCAGGGGAAGATGTTCTATATAATAAATACATCAGCAAAATCACAGAATGTAAATGAGAGAGGTCTATCCTCTGATTTTAAACATAAGGGATATAATGGCTAAATTGCCAAACTAATAATGATTCCATGAGAAGGAATGCACGTACCCGCTATCAAAACTAAAGAAAACCCAAAAATTTGAATAAAAATGAGTTCCATTAACTAAAAACAAAATGGCATTCGATTTTTGATACAACTTTTGTATCGGTGCAATCCTCTACATTTGGAGCACCCATGTTGTCAGATTAAGGAAACGCACAACTTTAAATTCATGAAAGTGCATTATACTAAGTTTTAAACATATTTACCATTGTTATCCTAGCTAAACCTTAGGTGGAAGGGAAAGAGACCCAACACAGGTTCAATCATCATCATCATGACCACCTCAAATCCAATGTAAATGCCCGAAACACAACAGTGCCATGCGATCTACGTTCCATGGGCTAAGCATTTTCAAAACTTGTAAAAAGTTTAAGCTTGACAAATAGTGGAGGCAACGGAGGCCGTGAATCCGTACAGTTTCCCACGGCCATCGCCTGCTTTCACACGGTCATCGCACGAATAGGGTGTTACGGGCAGCAAAGGTGCACAATACGGACAATGTAGAGCAAATGTTACTTAGGCTTAAGTAATAATGCAAGAGGAGTTATACTTACACGTTCTCTGTTCAGTCAAACGCACCGCGATGCTCTCGTCTTTGCTCTAGGTGTTCTGGTGGAACAGAATGATGCAAGTGAGTAACAAGCATGCACTTATATTCCGTTTCAGAGACATTGGAAAATGCTGGTAGTGGCAAAATAAAGTTTTTACTCCGCGTGAACGTAATTTAGATTAAAAAAAACTGCAGCCGTTATCATCATGAATGGCAGTGTTTCAGTGCAATAGATTTGGTGTGTCATTATGAGGGTGGTTACAAAGAGTGCGTCGTTCAGTTTGTAAATATTCAAATGTACATATGAACATAAGATTTAGGAAACTATTGAAATTTACAAATCGTCTCTAATAATCGGTTTATGAGACAGTAACATGAAGCTTCTGTTCTGGCTGACAATGGTAGGTTCCTTTTCCCGCCCTTTAATTGTAATCTAAAGTGAACTTAGTATTTAGTATATACATGTATAGTGTAACTACTGACAACGGACAATCTATATATATTATGATTATATATATATTATGCTTGCTTTGGATTCTCAGCTGATTCATCGCAATAACTTCAGATCAAATACTTCATTACTGAGGTACTGTGACTGTTCTGATAAAACTTCAGAATTTTCTAAAAATAGCATTGAATATGCATGTAAACGCGAAAACGAATCCATTCGGGAACATGACACCAGCTTATCTGTCATTTATAGAACTTTTATAGATTGGCCCCCAAAACGCTTGATAAATTTGTGTCCCGGAAAGCCACTGAGAGGGTAGACCGAGGACTTACATTGGTTATAAGCTGAGGACAACGCTGCATAGAAAGAAAAAAGAATGGAAACAGAACTTCCAAACTGTCAAAACTTACATATAATGAGCAAAAAGGTTCATTAGCTTGGTTGTTGGATAAATATGAAAATTCTCAAACACAAGCCTAAAATTTCCCGTACCGTTAGCTTACGGCCAACCTGGTCGAAGGCCTTCGACCAGGTTGGCCGTAAGCTAACGGTACGGAAAATTTTAGGCTTGTGTTTGAGAATTTTCATATTTACATATAATGGATAGGTTTTTGGAACCACTATAATCATTACGCGTCAGATCTATCCTGAACAAAAGGCGCCAAAGCTTCCTAAAAACCAACTGCCATGTTTTGAAAGGTTTTGTTTCTTTTAACGCCACAAAATGTTTTCACTAGAAAAACAAATACAACATATACACGTCAAATCTGCCACAAACAAAATACATCAAAGTTAATTCCTAAAAACCGACTGTCATTATATGAAAGTGCCCTTTTTTCCAGCTCAGCGCTCGCTAATTGCCGATTCAAACACGTGCGGTTAAATAAACATAAACTATATTCATTGGATGATTATGAATTATATATAAAAGGTTTTTATTTTTTACATTTATCAATTCATTGAAATACTGAAGTCAACAGATTATCAATCAATTATCAGACTAGCGATTATCAATTCCGATAATATCTATCAAGTGCAAATATAATTTATTGGTCACATATTGGTGAGATGAGATTATCAATGTTATGTAAGCTTTCCAGGGAGCTTAGCTCTTATAAAATAAGTTCCAGATGTTTCTTCCTTAATTTCAGTCAGCCTGATTGGACAGTGCCACTTGGCCTCTGTATGATCAGCCAATCACATTCATATGAGTACAGTCTCACAGAGGATAGGGAGACCCTTCTCCCACATCATTTATATTTGATTTAACCTCAGTGTATTGCTACCAGTGATATCCTATTACTTTAAACATTTTAACATACTTTTAACAATTGTTATTTTTCCACATACTTTTGATGAATTACTTGGTATATCCAACATGCGATCAGTGAATAAGTCAGAATATATGGAATATATTAACCTTTATAAGGTATATGCACATAAATGCACTATTAGAATGTGTGTACAGAATGTCCAAAAAAAAAAAAAAAAAATTCACGTACAATACGCGTTTCTTGCATTAACGTCCACAGCGTTGGCTGTACAGTCATCACTAAGAAAATGTAATCACACAGACCTATACGTGAACTTGCATTCAGGTACTTGTACGTTTCTAACAGAGGTGAGATGCGTGTGCACACACTGAACAACAGAAGTGTCACCCCCTGGATCAGAGTAATCAAAGTTATTAACCTGAAGAGGCGGAATATAAGCAATGTCAGAATATCGATGCAGTTGAATTGTTCAGTCAGAACCGTTTCTTTTGTGAAATTTGATGTTAATAAAATGATACCAGGAGCATATCATTCCACAGTCATTCATCTCCCCCAAAGTAGTGGTTCAGTAGGGGTGACACTTCTATTGTCCAGTGTGTGTAACTTCAAAAGACCATATTGCTACACACTGCGAGAATTCTACGCAAGTACTTGAGGTTTGAGTAGTCTTGTTGACACCAAACTTTAACACGTCTAACTATGTACCATCACATAATATGATGTGCAACTTCAATAATAATAATAATAATAAAAGCCAATGATAAGAATTATAATAATAATACTTTGAAACTTATCAATAAACCTATCAATATAATTTGTTAACTTTGTAGGATTGACTAAGCTTTGAGAAAAATAATGTAAAACCTCCTACCCGTTTAAAGCTTCCAAATGATTGAATTTATTATTGGAATCGCTTTAGTAATTATGTGTCAAAGCCGTCTCAAACAAAGAGCACTACCATCCTAAAAGCTGACTGTCATGGTTTGAAAGAAACGTGGGTTTGTCTACCACAGAATGCGCGCACTGACAAAGCAATAAAGCTCTTTAACCTTCAGATCACTTAAAAAATATGATCATTCTCGGATGATTGGAAAAACACTCAGTTTGTTGGGTAGAAGTGAATTTCATGTTAAATACTAGTTACTGCTTGCTTCATTCATTACAAGGCTGAGACTGAAGACAGTAAACTACTGGTTATCGATTTCTATTATATCTGAAAGGACCGGACTCTACGGCACTCTTCACCGGCCATGGTACAAGGTTCATGCTACACACAAAAGATCCAAAAAAAAAGATCGTCTACATACAATAGGATGAACTCCTTAATACCTTTAAAACATCCTGAACAAACTACTGCACTACAAAGAGCAAAAGATCATTCTCTAATGGAAAGACAACCGCGTTTTATACCAAAGCATCTGTATTCAAGATAATGCTTTCAGCCACAGTGATAATTCAACACACACACACACACACACACACACACACACAATCAGATGAATGAATAAATGAATACATAAATATGAAATTAAACTTTTAGTCCAGAAACTGCAAGCTCCAGGAGTTTATGTTGGGTCGGCAGAGAAGAGACTTTCCTCCTCCTCCTACTTCTACTACTAATAATAATAATAATGTGACTGAGATGAGATACGTGTTACTTCAACGGATAATAATAATAATAATAATAATAATAATAATAATAATAATAATAATAATGTGACTGAGATGAGATGCGTGTAAATTCAACAGATAATAATAATAATAATTATAATATTAATAATAATAACACTTCAAGAAACGTGTCAATATATGCGGTTTGTTAACTCTCTCTTGAGAATGCTTTGAGAAAAAAATAATGATGTAAAGCCACCTAACTGTTCAAAGCTTCTAAATGATTGAATTGGTTTTTGCAACCGCTATAATAATTATGCATCAAAACTGACTCAAACAAAGAGCGCTACCATCCTAAAAACTGACTGTCATAGTTTGAGAGAAACGTGTGTTTGTCTACCACAGAATGCGCGCACTGACAAAGCAATAATGCTTATTAACCAATCAGATGCTAACAACGCTTAAAAAGTACCATCATTCTTGGTTGATTGTAAAAACACTCAGTTTGTTGGGTAGAAGTGAATTTCATGTTAAATACTAGTCACTGCTTGCTTCCTTCATTAAAAGACTGAAGACTGAAGACCGTAAACTACTGGTTATCCATTTCTATTATATCTACCAACTGTAAGTATCATTCATTATGTATGGACGGTGTAAACTACTATACAACACCTTACATATTTAATTTAACCCCGTATAGAATTGATACTGGTGATATCCTGCTCATTTAAACAAATTGGTATTCAGAAATAGGCT